CGGCGGGAGGGAGCCTGTGGAAATCCGCCTGCCTCGGTGGAGCCGCGCGTGGGCCTGGCTCTGCGGCGTGGAAGCCGGTGCTGCAGGCAGGCCGGCCGGTTGATCCCTTCTACCGGTAAAAAGCGAGCGGCAGGTGCTCAGCTGGGTTTTATGGGACAAGTTTCTGGCGGTGTTTAAAAGGATGGTGCGCCGTTAAAAAAAAATAATCAAAATTCCTCTTTCTCCTCTGCCACGCTGGTTACAAGCGAGGAGCCCTCCCCGTGCCACGTGTCAGGCGGGATGCCGGCGTTCAGCCGGAGCTGCGCAGCTGCCGTTGACACCTTCCTACACCTTGGCAGTTCTGCCCCTGCCAGGGGTTATTACATGTTAGAGTATCAGCTTGGCTTTAACGTAGACTTGGAAATGTGAGCTCATGGTCGTTAACCTGCTGATGTGCCGATCTGTACAAGTGGAAGGATCCCTGGAGGAGCAGAGCATTGGTTGGTACCACTTAAGGGTGATTTGAAGGTTCTCCTGGGGTGACTGGCAGGAAATTAGCTATGTTGGAGTGTACAAAGAAGTTCCAAAAACTTGTAATTAATAAACTTCCTATAGTCTCATACTGGGGACCATCAACCTGGCAACTGAGGCCTGCTCCTGTAAAGTCTGAGGCACTTGTGGATACCACTGAGGAATCAAACAGGCCGAGAGCCCAGCACCTTGCAGGATCAGACCCTGGAGGTGAGGAGGAAAGCAGTGGTATCGCACTCTTACCTTTGAATAAAAGAAAGCCCTATGCTTCAGCTCTCCTTTTGGGTTTGAGGTAGATTTTCAGGTTTCACAGTAAGTGTCTCTTGCCACGCTGCAGGTTAGCTGTTCAAGAGCGGCCAGTTGGGCGCTAGCTTTCCTAGCCGGCCTTTGACCGATTGCTGTGCTCCCTGCTAACACCGGCTGGCTTCAAGCTGGAAAAATCACTGATACTTGGCAGTGAGGAAGCACAGAAAGGTTGGAGCTGATTTCTGTTAATTTTTCTGTGGTAGTACCATGTTGGCTTAAAAAAAAAGGAAAATATAGCCTGTAAACAGAGTACTCTGGATGTTAAACTAGAATACTAAATTCACTTCCCTCTGTTTTTATTTTTTAAAGCTTTGTTAATCTTCAATCGAAAGCTGTAAGAAATGGGATGTGTAACAAGCACGGAAAGGCTATTACGCTGGTACTTAGAAGGAGGTCCAAAGACCAAGCTCTTGACCCAAGAAAGTATCTAGTGTGTTCGTTCCCTCTTCCCTGCAGTGTCTGCTGCAGTTCCCTCTGTGGTGTAACATAAGGGTTTCCTGCTTCCAGCACCGGAGCTAACCCTACTGTTTCTGTACAGTCTCTGTTGCCCTTCTTGAGTGGCATCTGACTGTTTTATACACCTCCGTGGAGGTATTCAGTGTGGGTCAGGTCCAAGAAAATACAACTGGAGGAATAAAAGAAAAATTGGTGCTTTTTTTTTTTTGCTTAACTAGACTGCTGTGAGCATACTTGGCTCTACGGGAATATTTCCTTGGTGCTCCCCTCAAGCGCTTGTCCACATCTGTAACTTCAGTCTGCGACTTGACTGAACTATTTACTTGCATGCAAATTACTCGGGCTTGACTGTCCACAGGATCTAGGCCAGACTCCTCTTCACACAGTGATCCAGTGACCCGAACATTGCAAAGCCATTTTGCAGCGGCTTGTCGAACGGTTGATGACTAGTGTGTCAAAGTAAACTTTTTCCCTAGGGAAATTAGTTTAATGGGGGACATTTTATAGGGAAGGAAGGTGACTCTGTTGATGGAGTAAACAGTGTGGCTTTGCCAGGCTGCTGATTATCACTTACACAAAAAAAAATCGGATTAGTGTTCTGATCAGTGCTGTTCTTCTGTGTGTAAGCTTCCAACTGTTCAACTTTTGCAACCTTTTCCCCATTTCTGTTAGGACATATTACCAGAAGCTCATGTGTTTCGGAAAGTGAATATTAATATGTACATGCATATATTTCAAACCAAAATGATCTTATTTCTCATGATCACCCTCTTTAAGCTGTTAGAAAAGCTGTGGGGCTGTATAGGTTTGGGTTTTATTATTGTTGTTGTTTTTAATCCTTTTTGCCTTTGCCAGATTTTGTTGTTGTAGTTAAGCAGGTAGTCTTCTGTAAAGTTTTGGGGTTTTCTTCTTTCCCTTCTGTACTGCTAGGGAAGGATCCACAAATTGGCTAACAAGTAGGAGAGAAAACTGAGTGTATGGAGTCAAATGGGAAATTACGCTGGGGAAAAAAAAAAAAGGCAAGAACCTGTTACTCTGTTTTGCCTATATAGTAATGTTTGATATTACTTGTAAGAAAGAAGAGATACTTGATTTCTAAAAGAATGGTTCCCCTTGCAAAAACCTGAATAAGGTCGCTCAAGGAGGCATATGCCTTGGCTTAAAAATACCCAAGAATGTTCCAGCTGAGTGACGAGATGGCACAAAACGCTGCAAAAACACACAGGATGGTATTTTACAATTGGGCAGTAGTATTAATGCATGAGGATAACACCCAAGGCTCACCATTTTGTAGGCTTCTTTACCCCTCCTGTTGTCCTGGACCCTGCATGGTAGGTTTTAAGTCTTATAACAGCACCAAAAGCTGCAAAGGAATAGGCACCAGGTAGGCATGTCTTCTGAGGAATGAGAAGGAGGCAGTAGTTGGTTCTGTCCTTCATAGTACACCTCAGCCAAGGGCCCTTCAGATTGTCTAACAGGAAGCACATCAGCAGTCCTGTCACTGCCAACTTGGACAAAAGTCAAGCTGACATTTCTTCAGCACTACTGTGTTTACTGCAGAATTGAGTATGTGTTCTACGCTTGAAAAAGGGCTACCTGCATTTTCTTCTCACCCCTAGAAATAGTTAGCTAATATTTAGGCCAGACTGCTGAGAGGTTTGGATGTCGATCCAGGTCTCCACTGGAGACCAAGACTTTTATCAGCAGTGCTCTCTGCCAGACCTCTCCTCCCTTTGTCCCAAGGCTGCTGTTTCTCATGGGGAGGTGGAAAAGGCTGACTTCAGCCTCTCATGAGACAGGAGCTGGATCAGATTCCACCTGTCTGTTCCTTCTTCTGTGGCTCCAACTGACTACTTTCAGACTCTCCTTTAGCTGCCCCTTTCATGTCAAGAATAGCCAACAGCCCTTATCTTAAATGGAAGTTGATTCTCTGCATTGGTTTCATTTGCAGGACTTTAAGTTCGAGTTTGGCCATCATCAAGGCAGGACAAGTTCTGTCTGGCATGGAGGTACAGCTACCATTGTTCAGAGCCCTGGAGACGAAGTATGGGGAATAGTGTGGAAAATGAACGCTAGCAATTTACGTTCACTGGATAAGTAGGTGACAACTTTTGCTGTCTTCTACTATTTTAGAGAGCAACTGAAAAGTAGTAGTTAATTTTTGGTAAAGAGCTGTGTGGAAGCTTTGGTGTTGGAATCAAGAAGATGGTTTGGATTTTAATATGTGAATTTCATTCCACAGTACATATATTGACTAAAACACATTTGTGATTAAAATTTCAAGCTAAAGCTACTTGGGAGTATTTTGAGAAGGTGTGGACCTTGATTTGGAGCCGATATATTGGTCAGGTTCTTTTTTTTTAATCCCTGTCCTCACAATGTCCTGTCCCTAAAATTACTCTAGACTCCATACTTGTCCTGTGACACTTTTCCCATTGCTTTAGGGAGAGTTCCCTTTGAGACCGACATCAATTTTTGCCTCTCTACATCTGTAGACTCCAGTTGTAGTGGAGGAGGAAGGGATGAGGACAAGACTTGCAGAAGAGAAAAAGGTCTTTAATACAGGCAAAGGCACCCTCTGAGGAAGGTATTTTGCATGTCTTCTCTTCTAAGGATTCAAACTTTTGTGAACTTGAGGTAAATCCAAGCAGGAAGCTGGGGTGGTTTTGTTTTTCCCTTTGAATGGCAGAGGCTGCCTGCACCATTACAATGTATGGCAGTGAATGTTCTGCCAGTGCCTGATAATTAAGACAAGTTTAAGGCAACCTGAGCAAGTCATTCCCAGGCTGAAGTCTGGAGGACCACCTGGGTAAACAAATCAAGGAGTAGCATAACTTCTTGCAAGGTCTAAGGCAGGACTAGAACTTAATCTCCAAAACTTTGGCTGGTGTCATGTGCTTATTGCAGCTTTCAGGATGCACCTACACAGCATGGTGCTTCTGGTACACAAGAATTGCTTGTTCAGAGCAGTTCATCACTGCCAATTAATTCCAGTAGAAATCTGGGCTAGTGAGGCTAAGGAAGCAGGGTGTATTAAACCCATTGAAAGCATTGCATTAATACAGTTCTTCTGCTTCTGGTACTGTTGCAATTTTGGCTATGGCTGCATTGTGCTGGGTAGACATGTCCTTATAACTTTGGCCACGAAGCTTGAAGTTCCAACTTGCTTTTCATTGCCTACAGTGAACCTGAAATACAACAGAAACTGTTGCCCAAGTTCTGTTAGCACACCATGGGAATAGGCACTCTCAGCTCTCTCAAGTTCTGGCTGGGAGTGTTAGTCCGAAGCAGGAGGGCATCTAGCTGGTATGCTTCTGGTTGGGGAGAGCTTCACATGTCCCTGTTTTGTTATCTCCTCAGTTCCCCCTCTGTTGCTTACACTAGCACTTACCATCTGGTCCCCTTTCTGCTGACCTGTACTTAATCTCCTGATTTACCATGCTTTCCTAAAGCATAAACTTCACAAGTATAAAGATGCTGTCTGGCAGCATCTGCTTTGATAGTAACACTGTTCCCCCTGTGGGGACAGCATTTTGCATTTTAACTTCTAGAAGTGTTGTTTAGATACTAGAGAATTGCAGATTCCAGGCATTTGTTTGTCAGGGGATAAACTTTAATGCTGGCTAAGATGCTACAGACTTGAGTGCTGTATCGTCACCAAAAACTACAGGACGGACGCTAGCATTAAAGATTGCTTTTTCCCAGCTGCCTCATTGATGCCATGAAGGTGGACTGGCAATGGAAGGCAACAGGGTGTGTTCTTGGCTTTTATAACAATAGTCAATAGTGTTCTTCTAAGGATTGTTCCTAACCATCTTGAAAGAGCTTGCATGTGTTCTTGCTGAAGATCTTAGGATTCTCTGGCTGTGTGCAGATATATTTGTAAGTTCTCAACCAGGTTATTTCCTGGAATTTCTATGTATCAAGAAAAAAAAAATTCATTATTTGTCCCCCTCCTTCCCCCCACCTTCCCCCCCTCCCAATCTGGATAAAGTCTGTGCTTTGTTATCCAGAAGCAGAGGAGGGAATGTGTAATTGATGCTGCATGTTGTTAGCTGAAATACTAGTAAAACAACATAATATATAGAAAAAGAATATGGGAGGGGAATCTTTTGCTTAGATGGCTGAACTTTTTGGCTTCCAATGCATTTTGGTGCTGTCTCATGGTCAGATTTTTTTTGTCCTCTTTACTTCACAAATCTGTAAGTTATAGACTAAGTCATTACTTTTCCTCCTACTTTTCCTTACCCTAGTAATGGACATTACTTAACTGTAATATTTTTCTTGCTCTCACACACCCATGTGACTTATTTTGCAGTCTGCTGACCTTGAATCTGCAGTTAGCTTCCCTTGTCTACTTGCACTTAACCTAGTTATATAACATGGCCTGTGTTACGTACATTAAATAACTTGAAACAGTAAGAAGTCTTTGAAAGAAAAATAAGTTGTCAAATGATATTTTGACGAGCAGCATTAAAACCCATGTTATCATTCATATCTAAAGCATATCTGAAGCTAATTGTGCTATAAAGTCTGTCATGTATTGCTTAAGCATCTCATTTACTTGTTGCTATTTCATCAGACTTTTATTGGTGGCTAAATGGTAATGACTAAAGACAACAAGTAGCCTTGTTTTTGAGTTTGTTTTTGTTTTCCTAAGACAGCGTGATTTTTCTAATAAAAAAATAACAATGTTTTTTGCCCTGATCTAGCTTGTTGTTGCTGTATAAGTCTTGCACAAATTAAAGGGTGTCTTGGATTATTCATTGGAATGTGCATTGCAAGAGTTGTGCGAGTTTCCTCTTATTCAAATGTAACACAATGGGCAAGATAAAACTTTGCAATTGTTTCATTATCTGAGTGGAGGGTAATGAATGATACATGCCTGGCTCATGCTGTGTTTCTCTTGTAGATTACCAGGCTTGCATGGTAATTAATTCACAAGGAGTATTCTCTCTCTAACTTCGCAAGTTAATCACTAGTCATCTTTGTTAACAGAGCTGAAGTAATAAAGATGAATGCTGCTGCTGCTTTAGAAACTTATTTTTGGATATGAAACAAGTTTGCACAAAAAGTACTGGAATATGTTTTGCTTTGTTTTTCTTTAAGTCTATTAACAGTGCAGACCAGTGTCCTGCCTTGAATCCTGTTACAATAAACGTATGTGTTTAATTGCACAGTTTGTTTGAAAGTTGTATCAGTTATTTGGCATGAAAGGAATATATGTCCTTTCCAGGCAAGAGGGAGTTGAAGATGGTATTTATGTCCCAATAGAAGTTAATGTCCACACTCAAGCAGGAAAGGTACTGACCTGTCGAAGCTACCAGATGAAGGACTATGTCTGTGGTCCCCCTTCTCCTCAGTATAAAAAGGTAGGTGTTCTGTCACTAATTTTGGAGAGAATGAACAGAAATATATGATGCAGTACTTCTGTCCTATTTAATAAGCACTTTATTTACAGTGGATGGAAGGCATGAGTAACTCTAATGTAAAGGTATAACTTAATCCTTGTGCAATGTAATAGTGTAATGATGCTCGCAGAAGATTGCTAGCTAGGCCTACTAAATCACTTTTATTTTTTGGTTTAGTTATGCCTTACGTGACACCTCTAACTCGTGAGTTAGTTATGACTGACACAAGGATTTCTGAAGGATGTTGTTTACATATATGCAGCAATTCCCTGTTTGAAAAATTAATGTACTCCACTGAAAGGATGGAGAGAAGCTTCTGTGGGGAAGATACAGCACCTAGCTTGTAGTCTCAAGGACAGAGATTATCCCTATTGTCTTATGAAGTATTTTACTATCATTTAATACAGGAATCCACCTGCCTGCTTTTACCAGATGCATCATCAGTATATCACAGGACTTCCAGCAAACGTTGTGGAGCACTACAGGGTTGCCACTTGATGGCTGGTGAGGCAGAAGTGTTTCAACACTGTTCTGCAACACACTGACTCTGTAGAGACACATGATCCAGTCACACAGCAGGCCTGACCTGCTTAGCTTGTGAGATCTGATGCAGGCCTGGCCTCTGGTGGCATGACTGCATGTCTGGAATTGTGCAGCTATTAACAACTGCCGATAGACATCACTGTGACATGTTGACTTTTTCTGCCAAAAGCAAAGAAATGGGGCTTGAGCTTGTTAAATCCCCAGTGTGCCACCTTCTCAACTGAGGAGCTTGCTCCTATCAATCAGCTTCCAGGAGCACAGCAAAGACCAGCTGCTGAAGGACTTCTGAAAAGAAAGCTTGCTTAGAAAGCAGGCTCTGCTACTTCACAAACCTCCTCCCTGCCAACCCGCTTCCTGTCAAGACTGATCTTGAGGGCTTTTCAGGGAGCTAATACATAGTCTGCTGCCGTCTGTCAGCTCTGACTAGTATACTGACAGTATACTCCAATAACAGCAACTCTATTTAACGAAACATTCCCTTCTGCTGTTGTCAGGGTCAGTTGGTAGTTCTCTTCTTTCCCTTTGTACCCAGCTTTTATTTGTTTAAGGTAACCAGGCAAGAGGGCTAAAAATTTAGTACAGGTGACTGCATTGGCACAGTGATCTACATCCCTCTACTGTTATGTACTTTTTCTGGCAAAGTTCATCCTTTCTAGACATCTCATCCTTGAATTTCCTGGCTGTTGAATGCATGAAAGAATATTTACAATAGTGACAACTTTTAAAATCTGCGTATTTATCTATCCATTTCTATATGGGAGCTTGCTAATATCTCTTTCAGGTGTTGGCACCTACAGCCACCTCTTTTCCTCTCACTGTCACTTTTCTCTTGCACCAATACTTAAGTTTATTTTGTATGGAGAAGGAAAGCTGCAGTAACAAACTAAGGAATCTGTGTGTTTTCACTAAGCTAAGTATCTGTTTCTGTTACTCCTATAATCTGTCTAGGTACTTGCTGTTGTGCTTCAGATTTGAACAGCTTAGTTTTAAAAATAACTTCCATAATATACACTGCTTCTCACTCAGATGTGATATGAAGGCTGGCTAAAGGCATAGAAAGTAGTTCTCATCCTCGCTGGAAGAAAGAATAGAATAACTGAGTAACAGCTTAATTGTACAGTCTTGTGCATGTTAGTAACATTTCAGAATCTTAGGGGTATGCCTTGGTAGTTACAAGCCTTTTCAGAGTAATTTTGTTGATATTAAGGTCCTCAGTGGTCTTCTAGAAGCTTTTGGCTATCTTTAGGTACAAATAGCATTATTTGGGGTTAAGTCTTTTGTTACTGTAAGCGGTTCTTCCCGTACAAGTAAATGTTTGGAGGGGTCTGTCCTTCCTAACACTGTTACTGATGGCTTTTTTTCCCCCTCTTTTTGATTACAGGTTATCTGCATGGGTGCAGAACAGAATGGCTTGCCATCTGACTATCAGAAGAAATTAGAAGCTATTGAAACTAATAATTATGCAGGACCAGTGCCAATCATGGAAGAGATTGAAGCTGCTATTAAAGCAAAGAAAATAAATTCTGCATAGAATACCTCTGCAGTTGCTTGGCCATTCACCTTGATTTAGATACCTCTCCTCACTGTGCTGATCAGCAGTTTCTTTATCAAGAAAATATGAGTTTGTGCATCTACAGTAAGCCCTTAGACGTGATTTGCAGTGTAAAGACACATTGACATTGGTAACTTCTTTGCTTTTTATGTGTAGCTTGAGTACACGCTGAAGTTTTTGCAGATTTAGAAATTATCTTTCTGTAATTGTCATGCAGTGCTGCATGCAAATTTGTGCATCATGTTGTTTACTGACCTTTGTAAAAGAAAAAGGCCATCTTGATAGGTGTTGGCATCTGTTGCCTTCTGAGGAATAAGGGCTGCAGGATCGGGCTCTTTGTTCCTAAACATTGTATACAGAATTATCAAGAATTTCAAAGATTTATTAGCTGCAAAGTAGACTCAAATCTCTAAACCAAGACTAAACCTTTTCCTCTGCTGCTTCTCTTAATGGTTTGAAGCCCAGCCTATCTGAAGCTAGGGAGTTCCTGTTTCTGTTTATGTAGTTAACAAAGAAAGTAATTTTAACTGTCTCCATGTTTTTAAGTGTTAGTCCAAAAGGCAATCCAGGCCTGAAGACAACATTCAGCGAAGGATCTCATTCAAAGCGTAACGGCTGCCTCCTTTCTATGTATAGTAATCATCATAGGTGAACTGGTTAGGTATAACCAACAGATTTTAAAGAATTCATTTCAGTTAGATAATTCCAAGGATTTTTAAATGACCTTTTTGACTGGTTTGTTGCTTATCTAGGCCTTGGTCTTATGGCCAGTGAAATCAGGAAGTCTCCTGTGAGTCCTAGTGCATTTGTTTCATGGTTTTGTTTGTCTGTTAAACCCCAGATGAACAGACTTGACCTCTTTTTTTCCATAGCTTTGACAATCTCCTACAAAACTGGAAGCTCTTGTAAGGTTTAGGGTATTTATCTTCATGGTACTTGGCAAACCCTGTAATTAGTGTGTGGGGGACACGGAAAAATTGATAACCTGGAAGATGTCAAATAACTGAACTTTGGCTTATCTTCTGTACTGTGGTGGGTTTTTTTTCCTCTTGATGTACAGAGGGGCGTAAAATATAATTGGTGTCACTGTGTGACTGCGTAGATAAACAACTGACAAAGTAACAGACTTACCATGTCTTGTCTGCATAAAATTTTTCTGTAAACTTCTGCCAGGGATGTGTAGGTGCTGTCCTGATGTCATACGCCCGTTGGGCATGGTGACTGCAGTAAAATACAGTACTTTCTGCGTTAGCACTGTATAGTCTGAAAATGAGTAAATAAAACTGCAGTTACCAAACCTCTCCCCTGTCTGTTCAATGCATGTGTCCAGAGTATCAGTATTGCTTTATGTAAGCGAAAGCTGGTGACATGGAAATGTAACTGAAACCTCCATTGGCTATTTGTGTGTTTTAATGGCTTTAACTTCAGCATGGAGGGTAAGACTATGCATGGATACCCTCCTCGACATCAGCACCACTTCTTTTGCTTTGCCGTGCTCCTTTGGCCTTTTCAACTTTTAAATGGGTATTTTCTTCTTGCAAGAAGAAAACCAGTAAATACTACCCTGATGGCCTCCTGAGAGGGGAACTGACAGAAGGTACTTGATGCCTCCTGTTGAGGGGAAAATGGTGGGAGCTCCTGAGGGCCGGGGGAAGGCGGCCTTCCCTGAGGCAGGACCCCCCGCCCCGGCACCTCTCCCGGGCGAGGACGCCTTCCGCCAAGGAGAGCCAAAGGCGGCATCCGTGCAGGAGAAGAGGCCTTCGGCCATGCCTGCCTGGGGAGGAGC